TCACAGTTCCTTGCTGGCTAATATCGTGTACATGTGTCTACATGTACATGTACATGTGTCTACACACTACACGTACATGTACATGTGTGGTGGTGTCGTCTCTCTGACCACGTCCTCACATGTTAACTCACAGTTCCTTGCTGGCTAACATCATGAACATGTATCTACACGTACATGTACATCTGTCTACACATACATGTACATGTGTCTATACGTACATGTACATGTGTGCTGGTGTCGTCTCTGTGACCACGCTCTCACGCATTAACTCACAGTTCCTTGCCGGGTAAAGTCATATACATGTGGTCGTTGCAGAAGCCGGCGTGTGCTTTGTCGTCGTCATCGTCGTCGACGACGTCGCCGTCGTCGAGATGCACGACCACCTCGCTCATGTTCCCCGTCACGCCTCGCACGAGGATCTCCTTCAGCACGCTGAGTTCCTTCGCGAGCAGCCGCACTCGATCCTCGAGGCTCCGATTCTCTTCCCGCAGCTGCTGCACCCGTTCTAACGTCGCCTGCTGCTTCTGCTGGGCCTTCGCACGGCTCCTCTTCACCGCGTCGTTGTTCCGATCTCGCTTCACGCGATACGTTCTGTCGACGTGGCCCGCGGCCTTCCAGCTACGCTTGTGCGCCTTCGACTTGTGTGCCGTCATGTTTGCGGGTTTTTTTGTTACCTCTTTGGAAATTTTTTCGAAGTCTAGAATTCAAAAATAGCAAGAGATCGATCACCACGAAAGAATTCCTAATGACTATATATTACTTATTACTCATATTCTCAATCATAAAATGATAGTTTTAAGGAACCACACATTTGCATTTGCTACTAAAGGCAATTACATGAATATACATCGTAAAAGGTATAATCGTACAATGTATTACCCGGCCCCTATTACTTATTTACTCATGGATCAAAGATAGTTTAGGACCCCGCAAATGTATTTTCGCAAATGTGCTAAATTAATCTGGTGTGCTAAACTGGGCTTGGGCCCTTACTCATTACTTATACCAAGCACAAATAATACCTATAGGTATAATAATAATAATAATAATAATAACAGGTATTATTAGCTCTTGCTTATACTTTAATATATGGTACTTATCACAGGCACTTGGAACGTTTCAATAGTAAAATGATGGTAAATAAACACGAATGTATTTACTACCAAAGTCTTAATGTTTCTCTACTCTATTTCGCCTATTATTGCCGATAACTTCCTGTAAATGCCGTTTAAATGCTCCTCTGCAACACACGAGTACACCGCACGCACGCCGCTGTGCACTTGCAAACAACAAGAATAAAGAGAATTCTCTTTATTACAGGGTGCGAAATTAACGGGAGTCTGGAGTCAAATACTCCCTGATTTGACATCTGCAGGAGTCCGTGGGACTCCCTGAAAATTCTGCTATACTAACAAGTTCGTTACAGAGCATGGCCTCACGGAATTGCTGTATTTTTTTCAGCAAATGTCCAAAGAGAATTTGGCAGACGTGCATCGCATGAATCTTCAAATACGCACATGCGTTATTGTTGTTGTGCTTTAGTTTTGAACTTCACACTACGGGCTCCCTCATTTTCCTACAGACTCCCTCTTTTTGCGGGCAGGGAGTCCGTTGGACTCCCTTGTTCAAAAGTTAATTTCTAACCCTGTTATTATCATTATTCTCTTTATTCTTGTTGTTTGTGCACAGTGGCATGTGTGCAGTGTAAGGCGAAATAGAGTAGAGAAACATTAAAACTTTGGTAGTAAATACATTTCGTGTTTATTACCATCATTTTACTATTGAAACGTTCCAATTAAGTGCCTGCGGTACTTATATTAGCAACTCGCACAGTTCCTAGACAAGATGCCGATGATCAAAGTTCTACATATAATCCACAGGCACTTAAAGCATTTCAATAAAATACAATGCTAAATAAATATGAAATCTATTTACTACCAAAGTCTTAATGTTTCTCTACTCTCCTTCACCTATTATTGCCGACAATTTCCTGTAAATGCCGTCCAAATGCTCATCTGCAACAAACGCTGGCTGCCGCTGCACACTGACACATAAATATATAGCAGGTAGGAAAGCATGCTGCCAAAATTCGCTCGACGCTCGCTTGGTCTCATACGAATACAACACAAACATTCAACCATATTCTAGTCCATCTTTGTTTCTATTTGAAGAACAGAGTTCACTTGTTATAAAAACATATTGTCTGTGTTTGTAACCAAGCTGTGTCACGCGAAATCACACAAAGCCTGACAAAATTCTTGCGTTCGCTCACGTTGCGCAGTTTATGTAAATGGCTGCAAGTACAGGGCTATAGGCAGCGCACTGCATTTTGGGAAACTACCACGCTGCTTTCCAACTCCCGTACGAGCCTCGTCAAAGTAGCGTTGCAAAAACGTTGATTCCGACAGCCATTTATATAAATTGCGCAACGGGAGCGAACGCGCGAATTTTGTCAGGCTTTGTGTGATTTCGCGTGACACAGATCGGTTATGAACACAGACAGTATGTTTTTATAACAATTAAGTGAACACTGTTCTTCAAATAGAAACAAAGATGGAGTAGAAGGGTTGAATATTTGTGTTGTATTCGTATAAAATCAAGCGAGCGTCGAGCGAATTTTGGCAGCACGCTTTCCTACCTGCTATATATTTATGTGTCAGTGTGCAGCGGCAGCCAGCATTTGTTGCAGATGAGCATTTGGACGGCATTTAGAGGAAATTGTCGGCAATAATAGGTGAAAGAGAGTATAGAAACATTAGGACTTTGGTAGTAAATAGATTTCGTATTTATTTAGCATTATATTTTATTGAAACGCTCCAAGTGCCTGTGATATAAGCTGCGTTCACACGAGGATTTCAGTACCGTACTCGAGCGTTCACACGCTAAAAATATACGCGGCTTATTCAGTACCGTACTGAAATACGCGGCTTACTCGGCGCGGAATCACATTCCGCGCCGAGTGATTCCGCGCCGAGTAAGCCGCGTATTTCAGTACGGTACTGATTAAGCCGCATATATTCGGCACCACGCTGGCCGCGTATTGCCTGTCGTGTGAACGCAATTTCGAATTGCGAAACTGTAGTGCGCTTACCTAGACTAGTACCCGTTCGCTACACGACGTTAGTGTAGCGTGTGGAACTGTCGACCGGGTACCAGTCTATATTATACCTAGCCAGCTAAGCCTCGATTCTCGTGTGAACGCTCTGGGAATTGTCTTAGCACGGTATTTCAGCCGAATTCAGCACCAGATAAGTTCGGAACCAGCGAGGCCGTGTATATCGTGTGAACGCAGCTATAATCTACTTACTGTCTTACTAATAGTATCCAGTATTAACACTAACCCTAAACCCTTATTACTATGCACATTTCCACAATATCAAGGGTAGATAATGACAAATCATTTTTCATTTGAAATTTGTCATAAATTTGATGACTACACTGAAAAACTTACCGATTGAATCTCGTGATGGTCGCTGTTAAGAGCTTAAAAATCCAGGCCCAGAAAAGTTCGACTTTTGAATGTGTGGTACCCTATCGGTCCAAGAAGAATCAAGTGAAGAGAGCGAACGTACGCCGGGGGTTGGGGACTGTGGGTTACCGCTTTATATACCCGCTACTGCGTCATACTATGCGACAGTTGACTTCAGTTGACTCGCCACCGTTATCACTCAGGAAATGTTTGCAGTCCGTGCAAGATAGCCTAGTGGGGTGACTATCACGAGTTGTTCACTGATGCAATGGCTGAACACTTTGAGTACGTGCCAGCCGAACATTGCATCATCAGGGCGTTTGTATGGCGTAGGATGGCGAAAGTAGCCGATCGCTGATTGGTCGCTCAGGAGTGACGTACGGGTTCGCTGAGCGAGCGGTGATGTAACCCAAAAATGTATGTGTGTGCAACAATATAACGCGTCGATGGGCAGCAGGCCTTGAATAAACATCGAACAGAAATTAATTAAAAATACTCACACTGTTTTGTTGCATACACAACATACACTTTATTTATGTTAAATAACTACAGATTCATGTTCTATGCCCCACTTAAACATTTTGCGAGCTCTATGATGCGAATTTCTACAAAGTAATCTGATCACATTTCAAACACAAAAATGGCCAACCGGTCACCATGGCTACGCCACGTGACGGAATGTCACAACTACGCGACAAGACCAATTTTACTTCGAATGCTTTCTAGATGGCCACGGGGCATCTAACTTGTGTGCATAATGCAAATTATTGCACTCTAGTGCCGAATTTCACCGAAAAACAATGCCAAAAAAGGCCGTTTCTAGAGACCAAATATAGTGCAATATGTGCCTATATAAAGACACCAGGAGTGTATCAATTGATACACAATATTGATACACTCCTGAAGACACTATAGTCTGACTAGTACATGTTCTGTCTATGGATGTAACCATATATAATAATTAGCTCTTGCTAATAACTAAAGATAGTGATGATGCAAACTAACAACATCCACATATTAATAACGTTGGAATAATGTGAATGCGAGGCGATATGTGAATGCCATGAACGAATTGCGCACATAGTCTCACGCACACGCACGCGCGCGCGCACACACAATCTCACACCACACACACACACACACAACACATGCACACACGACAACACACAACACACACACTACACACACACACAACACACACACACACCACACACACACACAACACACACACACACACACACGCGCGCCACACACACGCACATGCACACACAACACACACACACACACACACACACACCACACACACACACACACACACACATGCACACACACACGCACGCACACATGCACACACCACACAACACACACACACACACACACACACACACCACACACACACACACACACACGCGCGCGAGCGATTGCATGACTCCGTTTGCGCGGAGGTATTAATAATGATTCCTCTATAATGTTCCTAGTATAAGATTGTGCAATTATGCCGTTGATTGCTTCATTTTACATTATAGATAATAACTAAAGATTGTGATGATGTAACCTAACACCCCCTCCCCCCTCCACAAACACACACACACACACGCCTCCCACAGGCACCCGCGCACCACGCACAACGCACGCACGCACGCACGCACACACACACACGCACACACACACGCGCGCACGCACATGCGCGCGTGTGTGTGCGTGCGTGCGTGCATGTGCGCGCGCTTGTGTATTATATCGGTTTATTCCCGGTTGGCCTACTCCATTTCGCTACGGCAAAAATTCCCATTTCGCCTACAGCAAAATTCCCAGTTGGCCTACACCCATTTCGCCTACGCTCAAAATCTACCCCATTCCCATTTCGTCTACGATCGGTTTGCGCCCTAAATAATAATTTATAAATAATATAATATGGTAGTAAACATTGCCGATTCTGAGAGTAGACGAAATTGGACTCCTATTATGGGAGTAGGCGAAATGGGTGTAGGCGAAATGGGAGTAGGCCAAGTGGGATGTTACCATAATAATCCTGATATTATTATAATTACCTACGGTCCATTTATGCAGATACTTCGATCTGTACATTCGCATCACTGTAGAGGGCAGCACACGACTGTTCGCATGTGTTTATGACGGTGTGTGTGTGTGTGTGTGTGTGTGTGTGTGTGTGTGTGTGTGTGCAGGGGCGTAGATAGCGGGGGGGATGGGGGATGCATCCCCCCCACTTATTGACGTGGGGGGTGGCTGTACAATCATCCCCCCTACTTTCAGGAGGAAAAAGGGGATTCAAAATTTTCTGGGCAGGACCAGAATTCTGGGGGATGTTTCTTACCACCCTCCTCGAAATCCTGCATTGGCCACTGTCGAGCGTAACAAATTTAGCACCCCCACTTCAAAAAATCGTTCCGCGGCGCCCTGCATGTAGAGTACTGCTAACAAAGATTTATGATTCATGAATATTTGTATGCATATCAAAAGTCAAATTTGAGTTCATCTGGACAAGGACGTAGATAGCGGGGGCGATGGGGGTATATCCCCCACACTTATTGAGGTGGGGTGCTTTCATCACCCCTACTTTCAGGAAGAAAATGGCGGAAAAATTTATTATTTTACAGACAATTAATAAATACTGGATATTTATCTACAAATCCGTCATCGCTATTCATACTCTCCTAATGTATTATTACAGAATGGAACGTGACATACATCTACTGTAAAATGGATGTAATTCGTTCCAAGAATGACATTATTTTACTGAAACAAACTCAGACGGTTAATTTTGGACGCATTCCCCATATACGATTTTTTTTTCTTCAAAATCCCCAAATCACGTCTTATAACTGCTCACCAAAGTTAAAGCAATGGGAAAATTCAATTTTATCTCACTTTTTGGGAGGGGGGATGGGGGTGCTGAGACCCGACCGGAAGTATATTCCCGATTTTGTATAAGGGGTGAAAATAAGCACTATTTGGTTCAAATCTGGTTTGTTTTTCTCATATCCTTTTGCAGTTTTTAAGGTTCTCACTTCTCAGTAAAATATACGTTTATCAAAATTTCAGGTGGAGATGATTCCAGTGCTGTAGTGTGTCAACGGGGGGTCGGTAGCACAGGGGGCGGTCGCCCCCCCTAGAATTTTCAGGGTAAAGGTATTTTTAGCCTAGGTAAGTCTGCACTGGAAACACCCAGTGAGAACAACTTAAGTACATTGTATAGCAACAGATTTGGTAGTAAGCATATTAGTCTTTGGTGTCCCCAAAGGTAAAATAACTCAACTCAACAGTGTGTGTATTGTGATGAAGATTGTTTAATAGTGCTGCCTCAAAGTGCAGGAAATTGCATCGAAGAGTGTTACTTTCAACAAAATTTTCGGGGGAAGGTCCCTGGACGCTCCCCGCTAAGACACGAGGGGGACACCCCTAAAAGGAGGAAAAATCCTGATATTCTATGATAAAGATGTCCAAAATTGATTGCTTTTAGATTGGCAACTTTTTAACAATTCCACACAGTGCGCGCTTCGTGCCCTTGACGCTCGCATGATTCGCCGCCCTTAGAGATTCACTTGCTGGATCCGCCACTGTTGTGTGTGTGTGTGGAGGGGGGTGCGTGTTATTAAACCTCTGGACCAAAGAAAAAATTACCTTCGAATTCAAAAATTGCACTTACAATTATCAATTTTTTTCAATTACCTAAAAAAAGACCATCTTGAAGGTTCTTAAATTGCCTAAAGATCAAGAGCTTCCGGGGGCTCCGCCCCTGGACCCCGGCAAGGGCTCTGCTTCTGCACCCCGCCAGGGCCCTTAGGGCGGGGCCTCTGGACCCCACCCATTATATGGCTTTGTTGCCAAGGCGCTCGCGGTGTGCGCGCTGCTCGCGCACACTCTCATATACATTATGATGGAAAGTAACAGCGAAATCATCCCCCCACAACTGAGGACCTGTCTACGCCACTGTTGTGTGTGTGTGTGATGTGTGGTGTGTGTGTGTGTGTGTGTGTGTGTGTGTGTGTGTGTGCGTGCGTGC